TCAGTAATTTAAAAAAAATAGCCCAATATTTTCCGTAATCTAATGTTTTACTGAAGTTTTAAAATGTTGGCTTTTAATTTACTATAGTTATCGCTCTTATTTTCTGATAATGTCGTGTATGGTCGCCCGTACTTGAAAAAATCGACAGGCTTATACACAAAAAAAATTCAAAATTCTTTTTAAAAATATTGGTGTTTGAAGATGTGTATTAAGTTTTTCCATTTATGATTAGTAAATATAGTTTTCACTTAATAATATCACCTAAAAGGCTGAAATTAATACAATAAAATTAAGTTTGCAATTCACCAGTTAGTAACTACTAAAGCACGAAAACTTCATTAAATACTGCAAATCAAATTAATTTTACATTAACACAATTTAGTACGAAAGTACACCTACTTAAACATTTTTTATTTTTAGTGGATACCCATATTTCAGCAGACGTTCCGATTATTTATGAAACAGTATATTTATTTATTTTCGTCTACCAGGCTGAATATTCGAGGAATCTTAAAGATATTTTTCTTTTTGGATATTTGAGAAAATTTATTAATTTTTTTTTTTTTAAATTGATTTCTCGAATAATGAGTCCAGTACACTCTTTATACTGTTTAATACTGTTTAATAAATAAGTGGGGAGTCTACTCAAATTTGGTTATCCACTAAAATAAAACGTTTAAGTAATCAAATATGGCCAAGTAGTTAGAACGTTCGCTTTCTGACCATGAAGCACGGGTTCGAATCTCAGGAGACTTCCTGATGTTATCAGAATACATCGAAAAAGTGCCTGAAAACCATACGACAGAATGACCCAAGCCTTATGAGTGAAATTGAGCAGACGGAACTCTTGGGGGGCCGTCGATAACTCTGCTAGCACGAAGCCATAAGTCATCGTGACCGAGGGTTTGAGTGTACTGGCCCTGTTCACATTGTTGATTACACTAGATAACACTCTCTCTCCCAGAAACTGTAACTAAGGTCTGCTTATCATAGTTGCAGTATAAACCGGTGGGTATTGAACAAACACAAATGTGGCTGAGCGAGCGTCTGCAATAGGGATTGGCTAGTGTCCCTAGTAGACGGGTATACTCGAATACGAGTGACCAGCTATTATATATATATATATATATATTTATATATATATATAGCAAATCTATATATATATATATATATATATATATATATATATATATATATATATAATTATTTATTTTTAAAAAATTATAACATAAATATGTTATAAAATCACTACAAAAATAGCCATTTTGTTTCTTACCTCCGGTGTCATATCAAGTGATGATGTTGAATGTAAAATAAATGGTTTTCAAAGTTTCAAATTAATTAACGATGCTTCGCAAGGGGAAAACGTTGTTACAAGAGCTAGAATGACCAATCAAAATACAAGTATAAGAAAATTCAAAAAGTTTGACAACGAAGTTATGTTATAATAGCTATTCAGATCTTTAAAATAGGGGTAATATTAAAAAGAATTTATTCTAAGCAATAATTATTAAATTATATGATAAAATTTGATATTAAAATTAAAAGTAAAAATTATCAATTTTAAAATCCAAATTCAATCATTATTAAGTTTAAAATTTTATAATTTTGTATTTTGATTGTTCATTCTAACTTTTGTAATGGTACAGTCTTCGCTTCATGATGCTCCAATGGTTTTCGATTGAGTTCAAATCCGGAGAATTTGCTGGCCACTTCATTTTTCGAGGTCCATCGAAGCCTAACTGTTTCAAATATTCAGTAGTCTTGTGAGCAGCATGTGAGGGAGCATTATCTTGCATATAAACAATGGCCTTTCTGAAGGCACCTCTTTGCCTTTTCATCCACGGTTCAAGATGCTCCTTCATAAACGCTATGTATGCATCAGCAGTCATTTTGACGCCATCTGGTACTCTCCATAGGCCCACTAATGTGTTTCCAATAATACCACCCCAGATCATTATGCCTCCACCGCCTTGTTGGTGTCTCAAACACTGATGGCGATTGTGTCCGTTCATTACCCAGACTTTGCACTATCTATCTGGCCCATCAAGTGTTGCTCGAGTTTCGTCTGTGAAGAAAGATTTAGAGAACTCAATCTTCATATTGTCCTCGGCCCATTTCAATCGATTTTGAATGTGATTTCTCGTCAAAGGAGACTTCGATACAGGCTTGACTGTTGTTGCTATTTCCCTCAGATACCGACACCGAGTACTTTTAGACACAGTAGGATCCCCAATGCGACTGAAAAGCTCTTGACTGGTAAGTCCAGGGTTCTTCGTGGCCTCTCGTTTAAGTCGTGACATGAGACGACGTGAAATAACCCTCGGCTTGTCTTTATATGCCCTTTTGCGTACCTGTGTAGGGTCGGCGGTGAATTTTTCACTGTTTGATGATACTTCCCTATCATTTTAAAAATTTCTAGGGTAGATTTACTTATTGAGAGTTCTGAGGTGATAGTTTTCTTTTCAGCATCACTTAAACTGCTTTTACGGCCCATCTTTTCACTAAATTCTTATACTTTTCTAATAATTTGGCACGCTCAAATCACCGTGCTGATAACAAATATGGCGCCAGTTTGTTTACATTGCGCAGATCAGTACAAAAATTTCAGCGATTGCGCAGTTCAGTGTTGCCAACATTGTGTGAAAATTTTGTGTGAATTGATTGGACGGTTTTTGAAATATTAGAAAAAAAGATAATAATTTGGCACGCATATATATATATATATATATATATATATATATATATATATATATATATATATATCAGTGAACTTTTTGGGACCAATACCTAGTCGATAGTATTTCATACCTAAAACGCAATCTTCAGGCCATATTGCGTTATATATATATGAAAATAGTTCTGTCGTCACTCAGTGTTGAGCTCAATGGGCATGCTTATATTTACACAATCTTTATCCTTGAAATTGAGCACTTTTACACATAAATAGAGCATGCTACATATTTATCACACACACACATAGACACACACATATATATATATGATAAAAATTGTATATATATATATATATACATATATATGCATGAATGTCTGTGTGAGTTTGTGGATGTGTGGGTGCGTGTGCATATGTGTGTGTGTGTGTGTTAAAAGTGTATGTCAATTCAAGTCAAAACACCCGAATATAGTTTAACTTTTAGTTTAATATGGAATATTTTATCCGTCTCCCCTCCCTCCCACCCCTCTCTGTATATATATATATATATATATATATATATATATATGTGTGTGTGTATGTATGTGTGTGTGTGTGTGTGTGTGTGTTGTGTTAATTGATTCAAAAGTAAGACACCTGATGTCAGACAAAACACTGAATGAAGTTTAGACTCAAGTTTAATAAATTTTATATATATATATATATATATATATATATATATATATATATATATATATGCATATGTGTGTGTGTGTGTGTAAGTATGTATATATATATATATATATATATATATATATATACTAATTAATTAACATCTCTCTCTCTCTGTATATATATATATATATATATATATATATATATATGTGTGTGTGTATGTGTGTGTAGAGATAGAGAGATAGAGAGAGAGAGAAAGAGAGAGAGTTTTAGTTCCAAATAGAATTACCACCTAATTCTTTTCGGAACTAAACCCACACATGTATAAATTTTGAGGGTAATGAGTATATTTTTCTAAACCAGTACATCTATGTGTGTGTGTGTGTGTGCGTGTCTACGTGTGTATGTGCGTATGTATACGTCTTTTCTTTTTCTTTTTTCTTTCTTTTTTTTTTTTTTTTTGTAATACTTTACGCATATAAACACATTTATTGCGAACCTTTCTCCAAATATTTTATCTCCCAAGTCTTTTGAGTCCGTACTTTCTCCTCTTACTAATCCATATACTTCAAGCACATTTTTCATCTTTAACAATTTCTTTCGTTCTTTTCCCGTTTAAAAAAAAAAAAAATTTGAAATGAAATAAGATTTTTTTTTCTTCTCTAACTATTCATTCATCTTTGCTTATTTGTTAGTCTTTGTAAAAAAAAAAAAAAAAAATGAAAGGAACAGAATTAACATCGAAATGGGACGATGAAAAAAAATAACCGTCGGATTAAGGAAGAAAGTTTTTGACCGAAACTTACAAATAAAGGAGTTTTGATAATAAAAACGACTTATTTCCCTCGGCAAACTTAATATAACCTACTATATTTAATGGTATATTAGACACCCATGTTCTTCTTACCTAAATATGCATCACAAAATATAACAAAGTTCGTCTTATACGAAACCTTTAGGCAACTGGTTGGTTATTAGCGTTAATAAACTACAAAATTGTATCTAGTTTAACTGGATAACATTTTAATATAAAATCGAAATATCGGATCTTGCATAACTTAGGACAGGTTATTACCAACGTCTTTCATTCATTTATCACTAGCAGTTTTCACGAAATCCCACCGAATCTGTTTATCGTAATAAAACCTGTCTTTTTTTAACGCCAAGTATCAGTATTCTTGATTTTCCTCCAGAGAAGCCTTCACAAAACCCAAACAAAGTTGTGTCTTGTTATAAAAACGAATCGTGTAAACAACACCAAATCAACGTGCTAACAATATTTTAATTGATTTCTTAACGGAATCTTTAATGAAATCCAACCAAAATTGTGTCTTGTAATAAAACCGAATTTTCTTATAAGCAACACCAAATGAACGTGCTATTAACATTTGTTAATTGCTTTGTCAGCACATGCCTTTAACGAAATCCAACTTAAAATATTGTGTTGTAATAACATCATTTTTTCACATCAGTGTAGAGTCAATATTTTAACAGATTTTCTATAGGGGATCTTCACAAAATCCAACCTAAATTGTGTCTCTTGATAAAACCGATTTTTCTGGTAAGCAACGCCAATTCAACGTGCTATCAATATTTTCTTATTCACGAAATCCAACCAACCTAAATTGCGTCTCGTAGTAAAAAAAAAAAAAAAGAAAGAAAGAACTCTGAATCAATATAGTAGCAAGTAATATTTAAAACCAACAAAAAGAAAGAAAAACAATAAAAAGAAAAAGCCCAGTTTTGTTATACTGACTTAAAAAGCAAGAGGACTATAACCATTTACCTAAAATTGACGCAACATAATCTTCCTGGATATATCTGAACACGGACCCTACTAAACTAAACCTAAAATCCAGAAATTGCCTCAGCATTTGAAACTGGCGTAACAACATCTGCCTTAACCTATTTGGCTTTGTAAATACGATGCCTATGATAATTATGTAATCCCTATTGGCGCCAGTGTTCGAGGTTCGAACTCTGGTAAAACCCAGTGTATGGAATGATAATTTTCAAGGCTCTGCTAATTATGAAGATTGGCGTTATACATTCTTCGATCATCTTTTTTTTCTTTTTTATTCTAATGCCATAAGAACCATTTGTTATTGATTACCGCATATACTCGTGTATAGGGCGAGTTTTTCTGGGCACCAAAAATAGAGGTCACATTAAACGCAGGTAATAATCTTGAAGAGGTTAAATGTCATGCATTTTCAAGGGTCGTTTGCACTAATTCTTTCGGGGTCGGGGGTTAAAATACATTGTCTGGGGAAGAAAGGGAGAATAAAAAAAAATGAAAAAGAATAGGTGTAGAAAGAGTGGGATAATGTGAAAATAAAGAGAATGAAATGGAATAAAACGGGAAAAAAAAGACAAAGAAAGAAAGAAAGAAAGAAAGAAAGAAGAAAGAAAGAAAAAAAAAAAAAAAAAGAAAGAAATGAATAAAAGAAAAGGATAAAAGGAACAGGAAAAAATGCAAATGGAAAAGAAAGAAAGAAAAGAAAAAAAAGAAAAGAAAGAAAGAAAGAATGAATAAAGATGGAAAAAAATGAAAATAAAAGTAGAACATTGGGAAAATGTGAAAAAGAAAGAGAATGCAAATGGAAAAGAGAAGAAAGAAAAGAAAGAAAGAAAGCAAAGAAAGAAAGAAAGAAAGAAAAAAGAAAGAGAAGAATGAAGAAGAAAGAAAGGGCGAACAAAGAATCAGAATGAATACAAAAGAAAGAAAAAAATCAAGAAAAAAATGAAGAAAAGAAAGAATCCGAATGAGCATGAAAAATAGAATGAAAAAGAAAGAAAGGAGAAGAAGAGAAGAAAGAAAAGAAAGAATTTGCATGAAAGAAAGAAAGAAAGAAAGCGAGAAAGAGAAGAGAAGAAAAGAAAGAAAGCGAATGAGCATGAAAGAAAGAGAATGAGAAAGAAAGAAAGAAAGAAAGAAAGAAAGAAAAAGAAAGACATGAAATCTGTGAAAGAAAAAAAAAGACCAATGAAATAGAACGAAGTTTGGGGGGAAATAATACGGGAACAAAAATGGACTAAATACAAAATGGCATTTTCTTAGCTGACTTGTCTTTATTAAATATTGATTTCATTTCTTATCGTACGTCTTTGCATTCCGATAAGCATAATCATCTAGGTTGTTATACAACGTTTCGGCCTTCTTCAGGTGTCTATCGCCACGCTCGTTAAGCTTCTCAAAATTTTGAGCCGAGCCGTTTATAATGCAAAGTTAAATGAGAATAATATACCAACGTGGATTGAACACAGGGTTCGCTTCAATATTCTAAGAAGATTACTGAGTTAAGGCAGACGAAGGTCAGAGGTTATAACGTTTTACTGGGAGAAATCTTTGTTTAAAGAAAAACCAGATTCCAGAGTTGGTCGAAAAACCTCTCACATGAAAACCTGCGGAATTTTACTCAGTCTTTATCGAAAAGCTGCTTAATAAGTTGGCAACAAGTCATTTCAAATGATGATGAATATAGAATTGAAATAAAATGCAACTGGACTTTATTTTTGAAAGAATAAAGTTAAATTGTTTATGACTCAGCCGAATAGGTTGGCTTTTATTTCGCCCGATCAATGTCTTCTTCTTCTTTTTCTGTTTAACGTGTCCCTTTAGGAAATATGCGATTGTGGCTCTCCACAACTTCCTATCCCTTGTGGCTGTTAGCAGTAAGTCTCCCTTTGCTAATGCTCCCACCCCAATGTTTCGCTACCCATCTAGAAACTCGTCAGATAAATGGCTTGCTGCCTTCCCCCCCATCTCTTTTGCCCTTAATATGTCCCCGTGAGGGTTAAGTTTTCCAACTCCTCCTTCCTCATTCTAGTCTCCAAAAGACGAGAGTGTCCAAAGAATTTCAGTTGTCTTTTTTCTGATTCTGAGTAGAAGTGTTCTTTTCCGTGGCCGTTTTCTTTAAGACTTCCTTGTTACTTACTCGCTCCGTCCATGAAATTCTCAGTATCCTTCTGTAGAACCACATCTCACATTGCCCCCAGTTTTATCCTCATCCGTGGAGAAAATTGTCCAATATTCACGGCCATATAAGAGGATGGATATCTCATAGCAATTCAGTATTCTTTACTTTCTCCCTAACGATTGTTAATGCGATATTCACTTGCAAATAAATAAATATTCTTAAAACCCGAAATGTGTTCCGGTCTTAAATAACCTACAAAGGGGTGATAAGCCGTAAAAAAAGCAAAAGCAAAAACGAAATAGATTAATCAATCAACAATCATCAATATTTTTCTCGTAGAATCTGACCCACTTTTTTAATGCAACTGATGTACTACTTGTATGTGAAGTCTTCTGGAGCTGGAGATAGGAGATAATGGCCCTCCACAACTTCCTATCCATTATATCTATTAGCAGTTGTTCTCCCTTTGTTAATGCCCCAGCTCATCGTTACGCTATTCAGTCACACAAGCTGGTCAGGTAAGTGGCTCACCACTTTCTCCTATCTCTCTTGTCATCAATATATCTCGTGAGGGTTAAGCTTTCCAAGACTTCCTTTCTCGTTATATGACCAAGGAATTTCAGCTATCTCTTCTTGATTCTGAGTAGAAGTGTTCTTTTCGTTTGCCATTTCCTTTAAGACTTCCTTGTTGCTTACTCTCTCCGTCCATGGAATTTTTCGTATCCTCCCGCCGAAGAACTTTTTTGCTGCCCCTAGTTTTATCTTCATCCGTGGAGAAAATTGTCCAAGATTCAGTGTCATATAAGAAGATGGATACCACATAGCAATCAAAACACTTTTTTCTTTGTTTCTAACCAAATTTTCCCGCTTCTCTGTACCTTGCTTAACTTTTGGAATGTTTCTTTCGTTCGTCTAATGTGTGTTCGCATTATTTTTAACCCATTACCTGCCATGAGCCCCATTTGGGGATCTGTTAAAATTAAACTCACTACATGTTATTCCTTGTATTTACATTGAATTGCTTACATACATTGCATTTGCAGAGGTATATTTTACAACACTTAGCCTTTAAAGTTTTTATTACTAGCCGTAAGAAAACACTTTCTGTCGTAATTTTACATTTCACGAGTAGAAAAATAATGACTGTCTACCACCCCAGACGAGACTCTGCCCTTCGGCATAGCCTCGTCTAGATTCCTCTCTGCCTGAAGGCAGAGAGTTCGACTAGTATAGCTAGAGACGAATGTACAAGACGAATATAGCAAGCTCCCAGGAATAACCTGTGCTCACTATATATAGCTACCGATATAGTCAGTCCACATAGGCGATAGGGAGTGTGGGACATTCCATTGCAACACCTCCCCGTGAGCTAATTTCCCCATGAAATTTTGCTCAATACCTCTTCTTTTTGGGGGTCAAGACATAATTGTTTGACTTTTTTCCTCTTCCTAGTACTTTTCCGTTTCATCAACACAAAAATATGTTTCATATTGCATATATACAGATTGTATCACAAATACTTTTATAAACTTCGGGAGCGGGTTCCTCACAGCAGTCTTAAAAAAAGATAACGTTTCAACAGAAAACGCACAGTGGGCACCGGTCCAAGCCATGATGATAAGTAATCCTATCTGTAAAAAAAGAACAAAAAAAAAAAAACAAACAAAAAAAACAAATTGTGAGACGTTAGCTAGATGAAGACACCATTGCCACTTGTCTATGTTCACAAGCACTACACTTGTTGGCATTAAGTAACCCATTTGAGGTTGATATGCCGTAAAACAAAATTAACCAAACTGCGTTCCAAAATATAACTTCAATAAAACTACAACATAAAACACACATATCACCACCTCTAGTATTTCTGTCCACAGAAACATGTATATGAAGAAAAGCTGAGTATCATCTACCATGTATTTAGTTGTGAAAGCAGAATAACATATATCATATCTTTATTACTTTAAGTACATTTTTGTACTGATCTGCGCAATGTAAACAAACTAGCGCCATATTTGTTATCAGCACAGTGATTTCATCGTGCCAAATTATTAGAAAGGTTTAGTAAAATTCCCAGAATTGAGTAAACAAAACGTTTATTAATGTTGAACGTGAATGTTTATGATCAAAAGAAGCTAATAAATAAGATAATCAAACAAATAATAACAGATACAAACAAAGGCACAGTTTTAAACAAATTAATAGGGAATGTGCTTTCGCTGTTTTGAAATTACTTGAAGAAGTCGACGATCCATAGAATCTGTTAATTGTAGGATGTCATCTGCTGTAATGCCGCGAGATATGTCAAGAATTGCTTCCCACAACTCAGCGTTGCTCCTGAATTGTCGTCCGTTGGCGTACAGTCATCGCTTCATGTTGCTGGCTACTTCATTTTTCGAGGTACATCGAAGCCTGTTTCAAATATTCAGTGGTCTTGTGAGCAGCGTGTGAGGGAGCGTTATCTTGCATAAAAAATCAATGGCCCTTCTTAAGGCACCTCTTTGCCTTTTCATATACGGTTCAAGATGCACTTCAAAAACGCTATGTATGCATCAGCAGTCATTTTGACGCCATCTGATTCTCTCCATAGGCCCACTAATGTGTTTCCAATAATACCACCCCAGATCATTATGTCTCCACCGCCTTGTTGGTGTCTCAAACGCTGATGGCGATTGTGTCCGTTCATTACCCAGCCTTTGCACCATCTATCTGGCCCATCAAGTGTTGCTGGAGTTTCGTCTGTGAAGAAAGATTTAGAGAACTCAATCTTCATATTGTCCTCGGCCCATTTCAATCGATTTTGAATGTGATTTCTCGTCAAAGGAGACTTCGATACAGGTTTGACTGTTGTTGCTATTTCCCTCAGATACCGACACCGAGTACTTTTAGACACAGTAGGATCCCCAGTGCGACTGAAAAACTCTTGACTGGTGAGTCCAGGGTTCTTCGTGGCCTCTCGTTTAAGTCGTGACATGAGACGACGTGAAATAACCCTCGGCTTGCCTTTATCTGCCTGTTTGCGTACTTGTGTAGGGTCGACGGTGAACTTTTTCACTGTTTGATGACACTTCCCTATCATTTTAAAAATTTCTAGTGTAGATTTACCTTTTGAGAGTTCTGAGGTAATCGTTTTCTTTTCAGCATCACTTAAACTGCTTTTACGGCCCATCTTTTCACTAAATTCTTATACTTTTCTAATAATTTGGCACGCTCAAATCACCGTGCTGATAACAAATATGGCGCCAGTTTGTTTACATTGCGCAGATCAGTACGAAAATTTCAGTGACTGCGATTAAAAAAAATAAAAGTGTTTGGAATTTATTCGAAATTTTTTTACACAAATATATTTTTGGTTACATCTGAAAACTTGCGTTCAAACATGGAACAGTCTGTCGCAACTCAGTGTTCACCTGAGCGTCCACCTTTACGCTCTACATCTTACATAGGGAAATTTTACTCATAGATATATTATGCCTATATAACTTTTACCCATATATATAGCATGCCTATATAACTTTTACTCATAAATATAGCATGCCTATATAATTTTACCCGTAAATATAGCATGCCTATATAACCTTTACTCATAAATATAGCATGCCTATATAACATTTACCCATAAATATAGCATGTCTATATAACCTTTACCCATAAATATAGCATGCCTATATAACTTTTACCCATAATTATAGCATGCCTATATAACTTTTACCCATAAATATATCATGCCTATATAACTTTTACCCATAAACATGGAATGCCTATATAACATTTACTCATAAATATAGCATGCCTATATAACATTTACTCATAAATATAGCATGCCTATATAACATTTACCCATAAATATAGTATGCCTATATAACCTTTACCCATAAATATAGCATACCTATATAACTTTTAGCCATAAATATAGCATGCCTATATAACCTTTACCCATAAATATAGCATGCTTATATAACATTTACTCATAAATATAGCATGCCTATATAAATTTTACCCATAAATATAGCATGCCTATATAACCTTTACCCATAAATATAGCATGCTTATATAATTGTATTTTTTATCACTGGACTGGTGACACCATTTGCACCAGCTCGTTAGGTAGGTTATTCGCTGTTTTCCTCTGTCCGTCTTGCATTCAACATGTCCTGTGAGTATTGAAATTTCCA